GAAACATTATTACCTTTTACAGGTAGGAAGTTGGATGCATTTCAGTTGCTTCACTCAGCCACTGTTGATTCATGTAATCTTCTGACATTCAAGTTTAAACACATTGCTTCCATAAACAGAAGCAATGCTTTCCATGTGGGATCCTTTGTATTCTTATATAATGCTCACCCTTAAAGACCAAACCGATTTCTGAAGATCGTCATTTGTTCTTTCCATAATGAAAGTTTCCCCTTCTGACATGCTTTTTTCTTTAGCTGACCCAATGGGCGCTACTGATGACTCAGTAGGTTTAAGTTCTGTATTTCTATATTCAAATAATTTTTATTATCACCATCATTACCTTTCCCTTTTTAATTTCAATATTAATTTTTATTTTCATTATTTTTTACCTACCTTGCTTTGTCTAGAAAAGACTTACGATGGCTAGTTTAAGGAAAATATTCCTTTTTCATGTCATTTGTTCAGTGAAGTTTGCTACCTTCTGTAAGTTTCTAACCTTATTTATTTGCCCAGGGCCTTGAATCTCATCTTCAGCAGGAACCAAAATCCGGGAGGCAATGGTTGTGGGGCAAAGATAAGGCAGGATAGGGAGGACCCAAAGCAACACATGTGATTCCTGTTATGCTTAGGGTTTTTTTTTTTTTTTTTTCCTTTTGAGACGTCTTGCTCTGTTGCCCAGACTGAAGTGCAGTAGTGTGATCTCGGCTCGCTGCAACCTTTACCTCCTGGGTTCAAGCGATTCTCATGCCTCAGCTTCCTGAGTAGCTGGGATTACAGGCGTGTGCGACCACACCCTGCTAATTTTTGTATTTTTAATAGAGACAGGGTTTTACCGTATCGGTCAGGCTGGTCACAAACTCCTGACCTCAAGTGATCCACCTATCTTGGCCTCACAAATTGCTGGATTACAGGCATGAGCCAACATACCCAGCCATGCTTAGTGTTAATTTTCTGCTCGTATTCATACTTTTTTCTTTTTAATTTTAAAAATGTTAGTACAGTTCAAATCAGTGTGTCTGGTTCATTTCAGCACCTTACTGCCAAAGCCCCAGAGGCAGAGACTCCTTCAATTTCTCTGCCTTGTCTTTGTGATAAGCGAGGTATCTGCTGCATTAAACTTTAAATTTCACATTATTCTTTTTTCCCTTGATTTTGACAGATTTGGCGTCCTTTTGCCCAGCCGTGAGCGGAAAGTTCTTGATTTCCTTGATTTTTTGAGGTATGGTGAGCGGTGTCCACGAAGAGGGTGTGGATAGGCACGGTCAGTTTGAGAAACGGGGAGGATGGAAGACCTCTTTATACTCACTCCTACCAAAGCCCTTGGCCAAATGATGCGGGCTCTCATTCTCTTCCGGGGCAGGACAGGGTCATCTGATGTCCTCATGTCCTTGTCTGCTCTAACTCAAACATTAATCTGAATTCCTCTCAGGAATACGTGAGTGAGACACTAGATGGTATTTTGTTGCACTCATTCCATGTTCTTTCTAGGCTGGTTAAAGCACCCCAAATTCAAGCCCCCTCTGCTATGTCATTAACCATCACTGGGCCCAGGACAGTCCTTATTTGGCATCAAATTTAGTTTCTGTCCTCTGAGCTCTGAGGTCCCTGGGAAGGTGGGTTATTGCATTCTCTTGTTCCCTGACACACCACCTGGGGTGCTTCTCTTGCTTACCTCCCCCAAGCTCTACCTCCTGCTCTCAGGATGGCATTCTCTCTAAGCTACTCCTTGTATTCCTGCATCTGGAGGACTGTGTCCCCTAGACCCTATTCTCTCACGAAACCTAACTGCTAGTGTCTAAACCAAAAGCAAAAATACTGAAAGAGTAGTCAAACAACTGCTTGGATCTGAATTTCAGGGGAGCCAGACCTTTTGATCTCTTCCATTAGTGACTCAAGGCCTCATTAACGAACTGTTTGACCTCCATTTAATTATGAAGGGAATTGAGTAGTATTGGGGCAGCATCTTGTCGAATTTAAAAGCACAGGCTTCTGCAGCCCAGAGGCCTGGATTAAAATGTGGGCTCTGCCCTCTACTAGATGGATGACCTTGAGGGAGTTACTTCATGTCTTTAAACTTGTTTCTTCAACTGTGAAGTGGGCACAGCCATGCTGATATTCCAGGATGGTTATACTGATTAAATGAGAAAACACACGTTGAACAGCTATGATGGATCAGGCACTGTCCTAGGCATGGTGTGCCACGGTGACCAGGTGGAGGCCATGCCTGGCATCCTGCTGCTTAGACACTGAGTTGAATGGTACAGTGTCACATACCAGTTTTGGTAGAGTGTAAACATTCTGTAGAAAGTGATGTTGGCCAGGTGTGGTGGCTCACACCTGTAATCCCAACATTTTAGGAGGCCAAGGCAGGCGATCTCTTGAGCCCAGGAGTTCAGGACTAGCCTTGGCAACATGTGGAACCTAGTCTCTACTAAAAAAAAAAGTTAGCCAGGTGTGTTGGTGAGTGCCTGTAGTCCAGCTACTTGGGAGGCTGAGGTGAAAGGACTGCCTCAGCCCAGGAGGTGGAGGTTGCAGTGAGCTGAGATTGTGCTGCTGTACTCCAGTCTGGGCTACAGAGAAAGACCTTGTCTCAAAAAGAATGGATGAAGGAAGGAAAAGAAAGAGAAAGAAAGAAAGAGAGAGAGACAGAAAGGAAGGGAGGGAGGGAGGGAGGGAGGAGAAAGAAAGAAAGAAAGAAAGAAAGAAAGAAAGAAAGAAAGAAAGAAAGAAAGAAAGAAAGAAAGAAAGAAGAAAGAAAGAAAGAAACAAACAAAGAAAGAAAGAAAGAAAGAAAGAGGAGAGAGGAAGGAAGGAAGGGACAGAGAGAGAAAGAAGGAAAGAAAGAAAGAGGGGGGAGGGAGGGAGAGAGAGAAAAAGAAAGAAGGAAGGAAAGAGAGAGAGAGGAAGGGATGGGGGAGGGAATGGGGAAGGAGGGAGAGAAAGAAAGATAGAGAGAGAGAGGGAGGGAGGGAGGGAGGGAGAGGGTGCTAAAGAGAGAACTGAAGGATGAGTAGGGGTTAGGTGAGGAAAGTCATCTGAACAGAGGGAACAGCATTTCTAGTGGGTCCCAGTTCAGGGGAGACTGGCAAGGTAAACCTTAGCAGAGACCATCAAAGGCCACATAAACCACTGCTGGAAAACCAGGTAGGAGGCCATTAGGAGGCATCTTAATTCAAATGCAATATCTTGGTGCCATATATGCAGATCAAAGCAATGAGGATATGGAGCAGTCAGTGGATTTGAGAGAGAGTTAGGAGGTAGAGTTGATGCGATTTTATAGCTGTGGTGAGTTCAGTCAGCATGGATTCAGCAAGCATCTGTTGATTATATTAGGTTGGTGTAAAAATTGCAGTTTTTACATTTAATGGCAAAACCACAACTACTTTTGCATCAACCTAATGGCATTGTGCCTTGCAGGACCTTAACTGATTTATTTCCTTACTAACCCCTGGGTCAAATGTCCAGGATTTCTCATTTGACCTGTCCATCCCCAATCATCCCTAGTGGCCAGGTTGTAGGCTGGGGGTGGCCTTGGGCCATTCCTTTTCTAGAAAAGCCAGGACATTGAAAATAACTGTCAACACTTGAGGATTTGGGAGTTGTCACTCAGTTAGTCTTTGGATTCTTCTCTGTCTCTGAAAGCCTGCTTTGTCATCAGCCTGGTGGCCTAAAGAAAGGTTCAGAGAGGAACAGTTACTGACATAGCCACTGCCATGAAGGCAGTTGGATCCACGGAGCCAATGGTAGAAAACAGCCCAAACCATAATTCAAATGTATTCTGTCCTTCAGAGAGCATTTTCATTTTTTGTTTTTGTCTCTGTTTTTTTTTCTTTTTCTTTTCTTTTCTTTTTTTTTTTTTTTTGAGAAATAGGAGTGTCTCTCTGTTGACCAGGCTGGAGTGCAATGGTGTGATCTCAGCTCACTGCAACCTCCGCTTCCTGGGTTCAAGAGATTCTCCTGTCTCAGCCTTTTAAGTAGCTGGGATTACAGATGTGTGCCACCATGCCGGCTAATTTTTGTTTTTTTAGTAGAGATGGGGTTTCGCCATGTTGGCCAGACTGGTTTCGAACTCCTGACGTCAGGTGATCCGCCTACCTCAGCCTCCCAAAGTGCTGGGATTACAGGTATGAGCTACGGAGCCTGGCCCCAGAGAGGCTTTTCTAATCATACTTTTATACTAACGTCTTTTATACTAACGTCTGTTTAAAATCCCTGATTCCATGTCAACAAATGTCAAATAGAGGCAGTGAGAAGAGTGAGCAATGGCAGGGAGAACAGCCTAGAATTTAAGGTGTTGCATGGACAGGGAACTGCTGTGTTTTCTAAGGAGCAGAACTTCCCTTCACAGTGTTGAGGAATGACAAGTATTCCAAAAAATAAATTTTATTTGTTTATTGTAATTTTATTTTTTGACACAAGGTCCTGACTATGCCACCCAGGTTGGTCTCAAACTCCTGGCCACTAGAGGACCTCCCACTTCAGCCTCCCAAGTAGCTGGGACTACAGGCATAAGCCACCATGCCCAGCCAACTTTGAGTTATTTTGAAGTTACTTTTTGATTGTCAAACATACCATTCTGAAACAGGGCCAGGTGGGTCAATATCTGAATAAGTTTTATATCAACTAGAGCAAAAGTAGCTGACATTTATTAAAGCCTTTTTACCTGCGAGACCCCATACCAGGCAGGGAACTTGATCTCATTTATTCTACACAATGATGCTATTAGGGAAATAGGACAATTATTCCCGTTTTGCAGATAAGGAAGTTTAGATTCAGGGAGTTGACTTAATTTGCTCAGTGTCCACAGCCAGTCCATGGTGGAGAAAGCCAGCAGAAAAGCGTTACAATGACGACCTTTGGGGTAGAATCGAAGTTAACAGCAAAACAGTTTAATATTTGTGGAAAATTTTGTGTTCAGTAACAGGAAATAATGCTGATTAGATGTGTTGTATAAATAGTAGTAACCCCATTGTGGCCTCTTGTGTTGGACGTCGTCACAGGGAGAAGTGTCTGTCCGGTTTGACGTCTGAGGACCCCTCCAGTACCTACAGCCCCTCCTTGGGAATCGCGGTGCCCGCAGCGCCGAGCAGCCGTCATGAATGAGCGGCGCCCGGAGCATAGACAGCCAGGCCTCTGCTGGGACTTCACCTCCAGGAGTGCACGGGCTCTACTCGCTCTCCCTAATGAGAGCAGTTGTGGAGAAGGGCGCTAAGCAGGTCTGCAGCCTGTAGCCTCCCACTCCAGCGCCCCGAGGAAGTTTCTCTCCCGGGAGCCAGCCCAGCCGGCCGGTTTGGTTCTGGTGGACAAGTCTGAGCTGGACAAACAGCGTAGGAAGCGCCAGATCCTGCTCTGCACAGAGCGATCCTGAGCTCTTTAACCTGTCCCGCCCAAGAGAATAAAAATCCCCAGCAAACTGGCCTGATAGCCTCACATTGTCAGAAACCCGCTGGAGAGGCTTGGGTTCTTGGCTTGGATGTTTGAAATTCCGTAAGCGGAGCAGTCGTAGAAGCACCTTCCCGTGCACTTCTCCGGCAATGATTTTGCTGGCCTCTGATTTTCACCAGCTCCCACGGTCTGCTAAGCGAGGAGCCTGACCAGTGGAGAGAGATCTGGCCACTCATCCCTCCTCTCTAGGCCTCAGTTTTTGAGCTTGTAAAATGAAGTGTTTCGATTCAGTGAGCCTGTGGTTTTGATTCTGAATTTGTCATGGGTAAAATAAACATGGTAGACAGCATTCCTGGAACAGTGGGAAAAAATTGCCCCTCTCAATTAAAAAGCATGAACTCGTGAGGTGAAATCTAGAAGGAAAATTGTGGTTCAGATGGCCTGTATTCTACCAACGTGTCCCTAGGAAGAAGCAGCCCAGGGATTTTCCACACTTGAGGGAAGTCCCTCGACATATGCCCTCAGTTGGTTGAAGGTCCCCTATAACACCAGTGAAATGATACGAGCATTTCTGGGACATGATCTCCCTACTTTGGGTGGCACAAATGGGAGACAAAAACATTGGGTCAGGTGCAGTGGTTCATGCCTGTAATCCCAGTCCTTTGGGAGGCCAAGGCGGGTGGATCACTTGAGATCAAGAGTTCAAGACCAGTCTGGCCATCATGGTGAAATCCCGTCTCTACTAAAAATACAAAAATTAGCTGGGCATGGTGGCACATGCCTGAAGCCCAGCTACTTTGAAGGCTGAGACAGGAGAATCACTTGAACCTGAGAGACGGGGTTGCATTGAGCTGAGACTGTGCCACTGCACTCCAGCCTGGGCGACAGAGACTCTGCCTCAAAAGAAAAAAAAGAACATTGAACTGTGCTGGGAGAAGCCTTTACACAGGGGACCAGCTCCTTCTCTCTCCTCAAGAGGGGAAACCAAGGCCCAGACAGACCATGTGAATTTCCCGCAGGCTTACTTTATAGCAAGTTTTGGGCTGAGCTCACAACACAGTCTCCATGCCCAGCCCAGCGCCAGAAAGGGGAGGAAGAGAGTTTTCACCATGAGTCACCTCTGTTTCTATCCACCCTAGGGGATTTGTTCTCTATGTGATCCGGGTGGACAGCCCACAGCTTCCGTGAGTGGATTTCATTTTAGGGGTGCTTGCTCCCCTAACCTCTGCCTTCACACCATCTTGAATTGCCACAGGGTGCTTGTCCAGAAACCCCACACAGCGCACGATCAGCCTTACCATCGAGGGTGAGGGAGAAAAAAGAAGCCGTTAAAAAGTCATCTTTCGGATTTAAATCAGCCCTGGCTGAAATAATTAAGGGAACTCAGAACTATGGAAAGGTCAAAGGTTTGCAGGTTTAGGGTTTCGTGGGAACATGCGCATGTTTGGACCAGACCCAAGTGCCTGGGTGACCTGTTTGACAGGTAACAATTAGAGAGTAAGAGCTTGCCCGGCTGGAATGTGGCTGCAGAGGCCGGCAGGAGGATCTGGTTTACCTGCTCTGCAGGTGGGGTCTGCTGAGTCCGACAGGCATGTGCACGCACAGCATTCCAAAGAATCGGTTTTCTTTTAAAGACGCACCGATGACTTCAGGGCACAAAAGGGTTGGGTTGAGCCCTGCTGGAAGCCGTTAGCTATTTGCAAGGTAAAGAAGCAAAATAAATAGTTCCCTGAAGACAGCTCAAGGAAGAAACTGCAAAGGCATTCAGAATGTTTTTTTTTTTTTTAATGTCTAAAATGAATGTGTGCTTTTTGTCTCAAGACTTGAGAAACCCCAGACTAGTACAAAATGCCAAAGATAATAGAACTGAAAAGTCATCCCTCTCCTCCTCGGACTTTTTTTTTTTCTTTTCCTTTTTAAAGAGGGCATAGTATTGTCGAGAGCAGAAGACAGCCTTCTAGAAGGGTGATGCCTTGCTTAAGATTGTCCAGAAATATTGGCTATTTCTCTCAGTGTTGCTGCAGAAAACACTGAAAAAGGCAAAATACTGGGGGGTTTTCCTCAATAAATTGTAGATGTGTACATTTTGAAGGTTAAAAGTATTATTTTGGTAAAACATATTTTTAAAAAGTGATTGTAAATAAGCAGATGTTTTTAGTGCATAAAATAATAGATTAGGATAATATTATATATCTATAATGTGTGTATGTGTACACATAAATATACGTAGACACAGACTCACCTCCGTTAACATGGCTTCCATTTGAATTCAAAGGGCTTTTTGCTAGTATCAGATGAATTACCCTATATCATATTCATGGTTGCTGAGAAGACAAAAGTCAAACTCAGAGAGACTCGGACTTGAAAATTATAATGTAATAGGAAACATTGCTAAAACATTGTCAAAACTCCGAAAATTTCCAAGTAATTAATCTTTTCTTTTTTAGTTTACCAAGTTTGTTTTCTAAAAAATAAAATTCCCTCTTCTTTCACATTGTTTCTTTTCATAGCAGAAATTGTCAGCTCCAAATAAATGGTAGGTACTTTCCATTCTTCTGTGTGCTGTCAAAGCTCTGAAGCCCTAAGATGCAGTTCAGGGTGCACAGCACTGAAGTCCTGGCAGTGAGGTGGGAGAGGCAAGGGAGAATTAGCAGCTGGGGATTCCACCGAAAGCACCTCTCCAGTGCAAAGAGTTAATTACAGCAAAGAAGAAGAGGATCTTAAAATTTGACTTTCAAAAAGCCAACAAGGAAACGAAAACTTAGCACTCTCCTTGTTGATTATTGCTAGTGGTAAAACTGGTGCTGATGTGGCAACTTAACTCTTTATTTGTGTAATATCAAGGTTATTATTTTACAGACTACTTATCAGAATTTATTTAAAAATCAGTAATAATAGAGCTGGGCACAGTGGCAAGCGCTTGTAGTCTCAGCTACTTGGGAGGCTGAGGCAGGAGGATGACTTGAGCCCAGGAGGTTGAGGCTGCAGTGACCCATGTGCACGCCGCTGCACTCTGGCATGGACAACAGAACAAGACCCTGTCTTTCTCAAAAAAAAAAAAAAATCAGTAATAATAATAATAATGAAAGGTCAGAACAAGAACAACTTGAGGTTACAGACGTCTTACTATGTGCTATGCTGAACTGTCTGCACTTTCTCTTTTAATCTCACAACAGTTCTGAGGCAGGTGTTCTCATGACCCCATTTTACAAACCAGGACACTGAGACACAGAGAAATTCCAGGACTTGCATACAGTCCTACTGTTATAAGTGGCAGAGGTAGGATATGAACCCAGGCAGTTCACTCCATCAACCATAGTTATGGAACTCCTGCTCTGATTCAGGCACAATGCCAGGGGTTTACGACACCGTGATGGACAAGATATAGTTGGTCCTTCATGGACAGATGAGACTTCATGAAGTCTAATTATTGTCTTTGATTCCAAGATCTGTTCTTTTAACTATCCCCTTGACAACCTCTCAGTAGTGCACGCACTTTAAATCATGTCTTTGTCTTTTATTCCTCTGATTACCATACGAGACAATGATCTTCAGCTCTGCCACTCCCCAGTCACGCTGAGACACCTTCAGTAGCAGTGTTGCAGTGAGGCAGAGAACATGGGCATTTTCTGAGGCATATGTTACATTTACTCCAGGCCTACTTTGTTTTATTTGTCTACACAGTGTCGGAACAGTGAATTCAAGTTCGAAAGTCCCACAAGCAGAGCTTACTGTGGGTGTGAGAAGCCACTCTGATTATGAAGTCTCTTATCAATGACAAATATTTGCTTGGCGATTTTCATCCCTTGATAATTGGAACTCAATCTTCATGGATTCTGACATAATGGCTGCTTCCTGCAAATCCTGAACAAAACCAAAGTAAAATTAGCTTGCACATTGTCTCCCAGAGGAAAGTACTCTTTTCCTTTCCCTGTGGCATTCCACATCTTCCCACAAGTCCTGCTGTTATTTCCCGATAATATTTCCTTCTCATAGTGTAGATAAATCCTGAACACTGTGTTCTTTGACTAATTCATCCTTTGTATGTCTTCGTGCAAACTCTAAAGGACAGACATGCCTCCTCTGGCGGATCTTCTTTCAGTGGTTACGGACAGGCTGGATAGCCACTTACTTAGGGTGAATTTTATAAAGGAATAATAGGCCGGGCACTGTGGCTCATGCCTGTCATCCCAGCACTTTGGAGGCTGAGGCAGGCAGATCATGAAGTCAGGAGTTCAAGGCCAGCCTGATCAACATGGTTAAACCCCATCTTTACTAAAAATACAAAAATTAGCCTGATGTTGTGATGCATGCCTGTAATCCCAGCTACCTGGGAGGCTGACACAGGAGAATTGCTTGAACCTGAGAGGCGGAGGTTGCAGTGAGCTGAGATAGAACCATTGCACTCTAGCCTGGGCAACAGAGCAAGACTCTGTCTCAAAAAAAAAAAAAGGGGGGGGGGAAATCATAACTAATAATAGTAATAAATATATTGAGGGCCTGCTGTGGGCTACACACTGTGACCACACGCTGCATGGCATTGTCTCATTTAATAAGCACAGTGACCATAAATATGTACTATGATTACAGGTAACAGGTCAAGAAACCCCCTTGCAGAGGTTAAATAACTTACCTGAGGTCACACAGCTAACAAATGGCAATGCTAAGATACAGAACTAGAGCCATCGGCACTCAGGCAGGGCATGGAAACAAATGACCATTTGGTCTTTAAGGTCTTAAGATTCTGAGATGCTCTGCTCTACTCTGCTTAGGACAAAACATACCTGAAGTTTTGCCACTGGGTTCCTCTGGTCACCACATTTTAAGTGGGAAAATTAAAAATCTGAAGCTGGTTTTAAAGAGAACAACCAGAGTGAAGAAGCTAACTCAAACCATGTTCCGTGAGGAAGAGTTTAAGGGACCAGGAATGTTTGAAGCTAGGAGGTGAGACCAGGGCTGGGGGATTAAGGAGAAAGAGTATGCTAGCTGCCTTCATGTAACTGAAGGACAGTCAGAGGGTGGGAAGAATTGGCTGGTGATGTGGGACTCCAAGCTGGAAAACCAGGACCCATAAGGCAACATTGGAGGGAGGCGGACTTTGTTTCTGTATAAAGACATGTTTGTTACTAATTTGATTGGCAAGTCATAGAAAGACTCCTTGAGGCTAGGTGCGGTGGCCCACACCTGCAATCCCAGCACTTTGGGAGGCCGAGGCGGGCAGATCACCTGAGGTCAGGAGTTTAAGGCAAGCCTGGCCAACATGGAAAAACCCTGTCTCTACTAAAAATACAAAAAAATTAGCTGGGCATTTTGGCGGTCACCTATAGTACCATCTACTCAGGAGACTGGGGAAG